GGAGAAAAACTACATGCATACAAAAGGATGAACACGCTGACATTTCCTGACCCATGCCTACACCACCAGGCATGCCCTGGTGGCCGCCCGTCCAATCACTAATCAGGCTTAACCCGGCTCAGCCTCAGAATCTGCTGAGATCAGGGGCGTCCAGAGTGATCTGATTTGGGATGTTTTGGGTTTGGGCATTTGTTGTGATGTGCTGTTAACAATTTTTGTGGTGTCTGAGTAATGAGGACAACGTGGAGGACTTTACTTAATAGTTAAATGGGAGGGTTGCCACCTCTGAGGTCCAACACTCATGACATGGGAAGAAGAAGGATACAGTGAGGGAAAAAAGTATTTGATCCCCTGCTGATTTTGTACGTTTGCCCACTGACAAAGAAATGATCAGTCTATAATTTTAATGGCAGGTTTATTTGAACAGTGAGACAGAATAACAACAAAAAAATCCAGAAAAACGTATGTCAAAATGTTATAAATTGATTTGCATTTTAATGAGGGAAATAAGTATTTGACCCCCTCTCAATCAGAAAGATTTCTGGCTCCCAGGTGTCTTTTATACAGGTAACGAGCTGAGATTAGGAGCACACTCTTAAAGGGAGTGCTCCTAATCTCAGCTTGTTACCTGTATAAAAGACACCTGTTCACAGAAGCAATCAATAAATCAGATTACAAACTCTCCACCATGGCCAAGACCAAAGAGCTCTCCAAGGATGTCAGGGACAATATTGTAGACCTACACAAGGCTGGAATGGGCTACAAGACCATCACCAAGCAGCTTGGTGAGAAGGTGACAACAGTTGGTGCGATTATTCGCAAATGGAAGAAACACAAAAGAACTGTCAATCTCCCTCTGCCAGGGGCTCCATGTAAGATCTCACCTCGTGGAGTTGCAATGATCATGAGAACGGTGAGGAATCAGCCCAGAACTACACGGGAGGATCTTGTCAATGATCTCAAGGCAGCTGGGACCATAGTCACCAAGAAAACAGTTGTTAACACACTACGCCGTGAAGGACTGAAATCCTGCAGCGCCCGCAAGGACCCCCTGCTCAAGAAAGCACATATACATGCCCATCTGAAGTTTGCCAATGAACATCTGAATGATTCAGAGGACAACTGGGTGAAAGCGTTGTGGTCAGATGAGACCAAAATGGAGCTCTTTGGCATCAACTCAACTCGCCGTGTTTGGAGGAGGAATGCTGCCTATGACCCCAAGAACACCATCCCCACCGTCAAACATGGAGGTGGAAACATTATGCTTCGGGGGTGTTATTCTGCTAAGGGGACAGGACAACTTCACCGCATCAAAGGGACGATGGACGGGGCCATGTACCGTCAAATCTTGGGTGAGAACCTCCTTCCCTCAGCCAGGGCATTGAAAATGGGTCATGGATGGGTATTCCAGCATGACAATGACCCAAAACACACGGTCAAGGCAACAAAGGAGTGGCTCAAGAAGAAGCACTTTAAGGTCCTGGAGTGGCCTAGCCAGTCTCCAAACCTTAATCCCATAGAAAATGTGTGGAGGGAGCTGAAGGTTAGAGTTGCCAAACGTCAGCTTCGAAACCTTAATGACTTGGAGAGGATCTGCAAAGAGGAGTGGGACAAAATCCCTCCTGAGATGTGTGCAAACCTGGTGGTCAACTACATGAAACGTCTGACCTCTGTGATTGCCAACAAGAGTTTTGTCACCAAGTGCTAAGTCATGTTTTGCAGAGGGGTCAAATACTTATTTCCCTCATTAAAATTCAAATCAATTTATAACATTTTTGACATGCGTTTTTCTGATTTTGTTGTTGTTATTCTGTCTCTCACTGTTCAAATAAACCTACCATTAAAATTATAGACTGATCATTTCTGTGTCAATGGGCAAACGTACAAAATCAGCAGGGGATCAAATACTTTTTTCTCTCACTGTATCTCAAATGCCAGCCAACCCAGCCGGTTAACTCATAACACCTGGGCTCTGTCTCCAAGCCCATGTACACTTTGACATAGCTTCAAGGTGCACCTAGCCTGGTGTAGATGCTTCAGTAATGTTGCTGCCAACTCAACAGAGCTTGTTTATCCTTGAGAAGCTGAGTAAATTACGGGAGGATGCATACGTGTTTTTATTTTATATGACCCAATGTGACCTGTGCATATGACACAACACATGGAAGAGACGCACGGATACTGATGTGCGAAGGTGGAACGCAGGTGTGTAAAGAAGCAGGTGGAGACATGGTGCTTGTGATTACACCGAGTGCCATACAGAAACACATGCATGGATCGGAGAATGTAAGTTAGGCAAATAATAGTGACGGTGAAGGAAAAACTAACGACGGTGTTAGCCAAAGGAGAGGGATAACCTTGGAAGACATTCACCGTGGAGATGGAGCGATGAGATCATCTCATTTGCAACAGCCAGATGGAATGTTGCATCGAGAAAACCACGATAGATGGCGACAACTTGGGGATACCGTTATCCAGCAGTGAATAGATCGTGGCTGATGCAAATTTGCTTGTGGGGTCTTAGCATGGTCATCTGAGGGCAGTGACATGGCCATTATGATTCTCTTTTGCCACACGGCCATCTCAATGTAACATCTTAAAGAGTCTTTCTGTTCAAATAAATGCCCCCCTTACGTGAATTAAACAGGACACTTGTAGGGATCTCAGAAGTAGATATGTGAAATCTCTTTCCACGGATCTCAGAAGTAGTTCTGCGTGAGAGTTCCGAATAGATGCTTCATCTCAGGCCACTGTTGGGCAGCACCAACGAAGGAAAGGGAGGAATGGAAGAAAACTGGAAGGGAAGGCCTCTGCCTAGTAGTGGGATGTTACAGGCCAGCAACAACAATGGCAGCAAAAACGACGACTCGTGATGGTGCACCGATGGCACTTTTGGAACAAATTTGGACAAGAGAGAGTGATGTAAATGTTATTCAACAACGAAAGCGCAGCCTGACCTTGTCCAAGTCCGTCATGGAAATCATCTTTTCCAGGGAATCCTTGACGAGGAAGGCCTCACGGGCGTTGCCGCCGCTGGCACCATAGGCCACGGCCAGCAGCACCACCACGTAGCACAGGTGTACCACAGTGTCCAGCAGAAAGGAGGACATCTGTCTGCGCTTTAAAATCCTGCACTGGAGTTCGACGGTGGCGGCAGCACTCCCGGTCTCGATGGTAGGCAATACAGGAGCTGCAGCATCATCGTCCCATGGAGAAGGCATCGTCAGGAAAATACTGAGCGAAACGCAAAGGAATTTTGTTCGTTGGCCTAATGGGGATTTAAGGAGACACCTGGAGGGTGGCCGGGGTGGCTCAGAGGTCAAAGTCCTGAGGTGGCAGCACCAAGATCCTGGGTTTATCTCGAGGCCGCCGACTGTGATTAAATCGTTGATGCTATTCGCCCATTTACCAATAACCTAAGCTTGTTCCTTGTTGCGAGGAAGACCTCGTGCCAATATCTGACGACACGTGCACGTCGTGCGTGGGGTTATATAGCTCTTATATTCTTTGGTTCTTTCGGTAAAGTCACATAGGTATATATAGTCACATAGTCACATAGACTGACATGCAATATCCTGGAGTCTACAAACTAATTTGCACCTGTGGGGGGTGTTACACTGGGGAAACGAAACGACATAACTCGTACCGTGTTCACGAGCAGAAGTCAGATCTGAAACATGGCAGAACGAATTCCGCTTTGGCTGACAATTGCTATAATGCTGTGGGCTCTCATGATATTGTTCTTTTTCCGAGACCAAGGTACTCTGCAAACCGTCGGGCTACTATCAAAGGTTTGTTCATGAAGCCTTCCAGATATATAAACAGACATAACTTCAACCGAGAAGATGGATACAAATTGAGCAATCATTAAAAGGATATTATTAACCAGGTAAAACCTTAACTGCTTTATGGTGTTGCCTTCATTTCCGCATCTCCAGCTATTTCAGTTTTCCACTCTCAGCCCCGCCCACTCCCCCCCCCCGGCATTTTGTTCTTGTTCGTTTCCTAATCCCCCTAGCAACGTCTCCACCTCCCCGACCCCACACCCCCTCTCTCTATCTCTCCTTCCTGGCTCCTCCCCCCCACTCTTACCTATATAGGCTCTTGTCACAGCAGCCCTTTTTCCCACTTCAGCAATTGTTTCTTGCTGTGGTTGTCCCACCTGATAAAGTACGCTTGTGTTGTGCCCGAAACGTCATGATTTAATTCATTTTATTTTATACCTACGTGAATTTACCAAAAGAACCAAAGAGTATAGAGCTATATAACTCCACGCACGACGTGCACGTGGTGGAGAGGCCACCCTCGTCCAGAAGTGAATTGACAAAGGCCCCTACGATTGAGGTATTGGTCAGAAAGGCCAATCGGCTGATGACGCAAATGAACGACTGCTGCGTGTCTGTGCTCGCGGTTTGTGTTTTTGAGGAGCTCTTTGACCCGTTTCCACTTTCGGGTTGCACAACGCGTTGTTCATATCGATGTCCAACATTTCATTCCACGTCCTGGGAGAGCTGAATTGAAACTGAATTGAATTTAATTTAGAATGAATTATCTCATCCAGTACAGGACCCTCGTCCCATCTCCAACAAAGGGTTCTTTGCCGCTGCTGCTGCTGCTGTGTTGGCAGCGGTGCACGAGTAAAATTTACAATAATGTAGTACGTTCCGTGTCGATAGCAACACTGCGCGGCCTAAAATAGATACTTTATTTAGTATGTAACTTTTAGGGAAATGGCTCTTTATGCGCTGTGAAGGGCCATTGCCCAAAACGTCGCCTATTATATATGTTTTATGTATTCCTTGCATTAATGTTTTGTCTCCTCTAGTTCTGCAGCGGATGATACAAGAGTTCTGTATCTGATGAAAATATCACTCTAAATGACAATGAAATAATGACTCTGCCAGAGTGGATAGCTCTTCAAGAACCAGATTGAGATTCAGTTCCACCTCGGATGTGGTGGAAATCCACGGGCGGTGCGGTGCGAAGATGCGGCGGAGAGCTCAGCGGCTTTCCTCACTTTCACGAGGAGACGCGGCATAGAGGTTGTGTTGAGTGATTCCCTTGTTAAAACGCCGCTCACCAGACCCGCTGGATTCGTTGCTCCACGAGTGATGTGCTTCTATCTCTTCTGGGTGCCACTCGTCCAGAAATAGCTGCATCTCAATTTCACCATAGCTCTCCTTGCTCCTTGACGTGATGAGACATTTGAGTGCCAAAATTGATACCTGAAAACAAAAATCAATCAAGTGTCATTCTCCTTACATTTACAAGCAAAATTCTCTCTCCTACTCGCTCTCTCCTGCTCGCTCCTACATTGAGATGAGCTGCCCCGCCCATCTCTCAACCTTTATAAACAGCCTGCATCAGCAGATTCCCCCTCTTTTTAAATCTTTATATTAAGTTCGCTTGCTTGCTTAGGACCATGCAAATCTTTCGGTCGTTTTTTAACCCACTTCCCGTGATCCAATCGAGCTGACATTTTCCACACAGACTCGTTGTGCGTGACAAAAGTATTATATTTAATTACCAATTGCTTAATGGTGCAATGCAATCATCTGACCCATAGGTGACAGCCATCTCAAGCCAGAGGACGAGAGGATTCTCGCCGCCACGCATATAAAGGATTTATAGTGAAAAACTTTGTTTTTACTGGTTATACTTATTCACCTGAAGATGGTTACTTGTGTTGCGATCGAAACGTCAATGATCTATTATTTTTTCTACCTACGTGACGTTACCGAAAGAACCAACGAGTATGGATTCCTGCAGTCACGAAAGCTTCAAATCAAGATTGTCATTCTCCTCTTGAGATTTCCTTTTACTTTACTTCAGTGATGCAATTTGTGCGAATCGTGTAACAAGGCCCATGGGTTGTCCGTTCGAAACTCTTTATTCAATCCTGCGCTGGATAAAAGACCACCCCCCATGCCGCGCGGCTCGCAGGGGCTAGTTGAACATACTTCACCCTGCCGGTCGCTGCGGTTTGGTGAACGAAGGTGGCGGCCACAGACGCGGGGGCATATAAGCACTGTCACTGTCCAGGCTCGAACAGCCTGTTTGGCTTCTTAGACCGAGCAAGATGGGCTGCATTCTGGGCTGCAGGCAGGGCGAAGCGAACCTAGGGAGCAATCGTAAATGGCGCTCGAAAACTCAACACATCCTTTGTGAACTCCGCCTTCAACAGGAACATTAAAAATGAGGTGATGTTTTCGGCAGTGAGCCTTCTTCATAGAAGAGAGCAAGAGAGGCCAGAGAGATGGAATAAATCATCGTTTGAGACTGCAATGAATAATATACACGGTGTGGCCCTGAAATCTTTTTTTTTAAAGAATGTTTCTAAAATAACGATTTCAAAGTGGCGAGTGAACCTTTAGTAATGGTGGAAAGAGGCAGGACACATGGTGAGAACAGCTGACAAAAGATAGACAGAGTTAACGACAACGCGGATGCTGAACAGGTGAAGGAATCAGAGGAAGATGGTGCAGCAGATAGCAGTGAGAGACAAAATCATAGAGTTCGGAGGCCACGACTGGACAGGAAGGAACCGGGGAAAAAAATGCAAGGGAATGGAGGAAGGCCTTCATCCAGCAGTGGGAAGTTGCACGCTGACAACAACGAAGAGTGACATCCACAATAACCAGGTAATTCGAGACTTAAACATCGCAACCTCCCGGCTTTGACATTCGTCAAAGACACTGGTGGAACCATTAGCCGCATCGGAACATCAACAGGCCGTTGCGTGCACTTCTCCTTCATGAATAGACAATGAAAGACGAGCCACAGCAGTGCAATTGTGGCCATGCAACTCAAACTATGGACCATATAGTAAAACCCATAGAGACATGGATACATATAAACCCATTGAGATACATGGAGACAGACTCATAGCGATACAATCTAGAGATAAAAAAAACTCAGAGATACATACTCATATTGGTAAATGCTCAAGGAGATGCATCCTCATTGAGTCCCATTGATATACATTACGACGCATAGAAATACAAAGCGAACGATAGAGATACATAGCGACCCATAGAGATACATAGCGACCCATAGATATACATAGCATAGCGAGCCATAGCGATACATAGCGACATATGGAGATAGATAGAGACGCATAGCGACCCATAGGAGATACATTGATACAGACACTCAGTGATATGAGACGCATGGATATACATTACAGACAACCTACGTTTGTGCGATTTTGCCCATTCAACAAAAACTATGGGCCATATAGTAAATCCATAGAGACAGAGGCTCGTAGAGATATAAAGATATACATTCAAGACAAGCCACACGAGTGTGATTGTGGCCATGAAACCCAAACTATGGACCATATGGTAAACCACTGTGGTCTGCACTCCTTCAATGGAGGAGGAACAGCAAAACTACACGAACTTTCCTACACCCCTCTCGTCATGGCTAACAGGCATTGCCATCTAGCTCCTGAATGTATTGGCATACACAACAGAACAACAATAAATATCAGATGAATTATTATTTCATACAGATGTTGCGAAGCAATCGTAAATAGACGTCTTCGTTCAGAATGAGATAGTCGTTGTTTGATTCCGCGCAGTCCTGAGAATGAACACAGCAAGACATGATCGCTTTGCTGCTACGCAGCCACACGTCAGAGATTATTTAATCGTCCGTCTATGCAGCAGTTGTGCACACACCCTCCCTGCGAGAAGGATGCGGTTCACAGTTGAGCATCGCTCGCAGGCTGGGAGGCGGGGCCCCGGAGGTTGAGGGAATGGGACTTCGATTAAGCATCACATTGGATGGGAGAGTGAGAGGCAAACCCCTACATAGGTTCACACGAACCTTAATGGGCTGCACCAGACACAGGGAGACGCTGCTTGACATCAGGAAGAGCACGAGCCAGCGGTTGGCCTTCTCGGGCCCCCACTCCATGCTGTAGAGGACGGTGAAAAAGCCGCTCGTCACGATGATGAGGAAGACGAGGGCCCATGCCACGTAGATGGTCCAGCGCGGCAGTCCCTCGCCGCCCGCTCGCTCGCCCGCCGGCCGCTGTCGCCGAAAGATGAAGATGATGAGGATGCTGACGGGGATCTCGATGAGGCTGTTGACGATCGCGATGAACACGTTGCCCAGGAGGGCGGTGGCACTGCTGCCGCGCTCCACCGTGAACCACATGGCATTGGTGATCATGACGAGGAAGAGCAGGGACACGCAACAGGAGAGGCGCTGGGTCCGTGTGAAGTTGTCCTTGCTGATGCGCATTGTGCACGAGTTCCTGCCAGCGGGAACGCACACACACAGGCACGCAGACCCAAACACGCACGCAAGCAAACACGCGGTCATCAATGACCGCATAAAACCACGCCAATCACTTAAATTTGGTTTTGTCCTCAATTTATCAAAATTTCGACTGTTTTGACTATTCGGTGATGAATGTTCTGCCCTCTGCTGTGTGGACCAGAGGTCGAGTGAAGCTATTCTCAGAGATTGCGCTGTGATATCCGCTTCCGTGGGCCAATCTTTTACACAAAGGGTTAAAGGGAAAGGTCACGTGAATGGAACTCAGCAGGGATTTTCTTATATATCTGTTTCAATGGGCCATTCTCTAAAACAGAGGATTGTAATGCACTGCGAGAGATCGAAATGGCAAATCGCATCGGGAAATGTCACCGACAGCACAATCGAGGCAATCGTTGTCATTACGATGGAGAATTAGAGGTCAAAACACGGCAAGCGGCCAGTGACGAGCAGCGCTGCTGATGATGCAATGAATGAGAGTTCGTACATATCTTGAATTGAACAATGTTATAATAATAACTTAGGAAAATAAACGATGGGAGCGCGTTTACAATTTCTTTTTGAACTTCCAGTGTGGTAGTTGAACACAGTATGGCAAAGTAAATAAATTAGAAATATAAATTTATAAATAATGGGATTTGCTGAAGGAGTAGCGAGGGACGGCTTGCACGTCACCCCTGTGGGGCCCCTACCACGGGGATGGAAATGGGCCGGAAGGATTCTCACACTTCTGCTCTACTCTCCCAACTCCGCTGGATCCCTGTCTGTGTCAACTTCTCACTCCAGTCTATCTGACTCTGTCCCATGTCGTCCTTTACGCTCCCTGTCTCTACGGCCCCTCTCTGTGCCTCCCTCGCCCGGCTATGCCCAGTCTCGCTCTCTAGCTCCTCCGCCTCTCTCGCTCCCCTCCACTGGAACCATCTCCCACTGCAGCATCCAGAGCAACCATCTTCACTATAACAACTTGCAGCTTCCGTTCCTCCCATCAAACAACCCCCATCGTCTCCCTTTGCCCATCCTACTTGTACTCCCTACCAGCGGTCCCCAGCTGCGACCAGGCCAACCGCAACCCGTCATTATACACTCCCACCTGGCCTCCTGTCACCATATCTACACCACCACTTTTAATAACCCCATTCTTTATGTGTGGGACCCTTTATGCCAGTATCAAGAAAATGAAAAAAGTTTTACGCTTTCCAGCTAGAATATTTGCATTGAGTTTGTGCTGTTTGCCATTTCGTGTTCTTTGGTCTAACAACAGTGATAATTTATTTTTACCCTTCTATCTATCTGGCAACAAAACTGACACCTTTTTTACAAGGAGTCATGTTTGCATAGACCACAATACCTGCAGTCATAATGCAGTCATAATGCTAACAACAGTGTTCAGAAAAGGCCATAAAGGAGGCTGTCTCTGATTTAATCCAATCAGTTTCAAGGGCAATGCATACATTCATACTAGAGCATGGTTATTTGCATGTTTTACTCAAAGCATGCTGTGTGGTTAATGTAGACTTGATGCCTTTTGATAACTGGTCTCTATTTGGTGTTTAAAGATTTTAACACCTGTATTCTTGCCTCTATATTTTTTCGTATCAATGCCACTGTTTAAGGCGCTATATACATTTACAAAAATTAAGAGCCAGAATGCGGCAGTGGAAGTGAACTTTTGAACCAAACTGCATCATTGTAGAAGGAACCAGGAACAGCAGCGGTGGGTAGTGTACATCTATATCTCTATCTAGGTCATGTGCGATTCTGTCCATCACGTTCTGGATCTCCCAAATACTACGTAGGGATATACATAAGGAATATATATCTAACAATGCTTTATTATTTCTGATAATTGCCCAGAAGCAGTCAAAAATTCCTAACTTATAAGGCAATGCTCATGTCCTCCGCCCCCCTTGCGCTCAGGCTGAGTTGGTATGATCCAGCCCTAGAGTGGTGATTTGGGGTGGTGCAGGCTACATCCAGCAGTAGTTCCTTTTTTCGCTTTCCCACCCCTGCCTACCATAGGAAGTCGTCAGAGAAGTGTTTCTTGAAAGACTGCGTGAGCAGCCGTGACCAACTTGTGATGCTGTGTCCCGGCGCAGAGTCCGTGCGCCGAGAGAGGCTTCCATCGCCATACAGGACCGAGAGCCACGCATTGAAGATAAAGAAGAACCTGCAGTGACAGATGATCCGGTGATGCACTTTTGTGTCAACTCATTATAGTAACACCTCGGTTAACGAAGAGCAAGGGGTTCCATGACGTCATCGTCCATATCATAAACTTCGTTTACTAGAGGTAGATATAACAGTGAGGGATTGGGATGCGTTCCATGACCTTAGAGAAGGGGGTGCAATAGGAAAATATTGCTGCGCAGTAGCTGTTACTTTGTCTTCTTGCTTTAAAACGATCTTTAGGATGGACTGCACTAACCCTAACGCGCCACTTAACTTTTCGTTTCCCCGGCCTCTGCCCTCCTTATGATCTGCGTTTCATTTCCAAAACGATGGATTTATGTTGCACGTTTAGCCCAGCGACGGTCACGCGCACTAGCTGGTCTTTGGATTACATTATGGGGGTAACACAGTCCCTTGATCACAGCAAAGAACACAATAATATGTTACCAACACGAGGGAGGCTCGCCAATAAGCATTTCGCTATTTGGCTGCTAACAACTGAGACAACTTCACTCGGCTGTGTTTACAGGGTACGAGCGGCGTTAAACATTTACTCTTCTTATTCACTTTGCATAATTTCTGAAGATATATCATTTGGTTCTAATGGAGCTTCACGCCAAGAGGCTCCGTTCACCGAGGTACTTCTCTCTCTTCTCACTTTGCAGAAAAAAAATCTGCGCAGAGCAGTGGTGAGAACATAACCGTGCACTGCACTACACAGGCAATATATGTCACAGTAGTTTTGGTATTCTGGTATGTTTATTTATCTCCTAGCCTTTAAGGAACATAAATGTTTTTTACGTTTTATATTACAACTTTTTACACGCATTTTATATTACGCTTTATTGTAGTATTGTTTACAATTACGTTTGTCTTCAAACTGGACTTTTCGGATACCCGAAACAGTGCTTCTCCATGTTTGTCCAGCTGGCTAGGCTTTACTCTCGTGACAAAAATAGTAATTTATTTATTGAAATTCACTTTGAATTAGAGTGGACATAAATTACTGAGCATTTACATATTAAGATAACTGCCCACCAAAGGCATGTATGTATGTTGAACTTCTTTCATACCGCACGTAGACAACCATGCGAAACCCAGGTGGCCTGTGTTGGTTGCTACATTTTTTTATATGGGAGAGCGAGGAGTTAGGATACATTTTCTCTGCAATGCAATTCCTTCAATATATTTTAGAAGACACCAAAGCGGATGTTTTTTTAAGTGCTTAACAGTGACAGAAAGGACAATAACTCGATCTAGAATACAATTTGAAATGTAGTAACTATGCCTCGGTTCGTCATGCACTATTGACACGCTACACACAAGAACTCGTGGTACAAAGCCTAAAGAAAGGATGTTCAGTTACCTATTGTGAATCTATACTCTACAACCATTGGTTTAAAAAGTGTATATTGTTGATATATAAAGATATATTGTCTATTATACTCTATGTATTATTAGTTTTTTATCATGTAAAATAGTTTACACTTGTATAAACATAGTCGCCATCAATACGGTATGTGGGGGGAAAAAATATTGAGAGTACGTGTACACATGAAAGAGACGACAGCCAGTCAGGGACGCCAACGCTTGCGTGTCTCCTGGTGCATGCAGTGTAAACAACGTGGTTCTGAGTGGTCAAGTTAATAAATTACGAATACATTCCGCCAATGTACCACAGTACGTAAAACGGGATTGGGTATCGACAAGTTGAGTACGTTATTGCCGAAGTACGTAGAACGGGAAGGCGTAAATCTGGGTATTATTGTACATGGGCTCCCGGCCGCTAGACTTTTCCCGAGTTCCTTCTGGAACGATGCAGTCAGGTTCCAATGTTTCTTTGCATTGTTCACTTTTTGGTGTTCTCTGGTCTGATACTGGTGAGACAGGGCCATAAAGAAGGCTGTCTCTGTTGTAGGCCAATCAATTACAAAGACAATGGATATGTTATCACAGCATGTTTGCATGTCTTTGCCACAAGTACGTGTGGTTAATGCACACTTTATTCCTTGCAATAAGTAATTATTTGGTGTTTGAACATGTCAACAGGCATTTTACTGGTAGGAAGGGCAAAACCTATTTTTATTTTTCATAGCTTCAATGTTCACTCCCAAAACGACACTGGATCCTTCCAGACCTTTTCCATCTTTGTACCCCGCCCTGCACCCCGCTGATGAGGCCACCTACGTGGTGTGCTGCTCGATGTCGTACAGCAGGACTTCGTTGAGGAACCAGCTGTGGTCGTCGCTGAGCTCCGAGCTATCGAGCCAAACTTCCATGGCCTTTGCTCGTCCATAACATCGCGGGATCGAGACAATGAATGCTCTCGTGACACCGGGTGGAAATTCCTGGGCGGAAAAATCAGGAGACCATCATCATCAAGAAATTCTCTTTTGCGAAAAAATTGATTTTGGCTCTTAATATCAAACTGTCGCTATTCCACAGGGTGTCCCAGTGAATTTACCAACATTTCATATGGGTCTTCTCCCAGTGCTCCGGTTTCCTCCCATATATAAACACTCTTAAATTTGTAATAAAATGACTCCTTCACAGTGTTGATCTCCGTTGTCCTTTATTCGGGTTCTTGTCTCTCTCGCCCTTACAGCGTCCTCGCTCAGACTCGTGCCACCTCCTCCGCGCACCCTGCAGCCACACCGCTGCTCCGCTCCGCAGCCACACCGCTGCTCGGCGTGCCCGGCACACCCTGCTAGCCTTCGCTCCCAGCTAGCTTCCCACACTCCACTCGCTCTCACCCACTAGCTCTGCTGTGCCCACGTACGCCGCTGGCTGACGGTGCCGCTGGCTGACGGTGCCACGGCCTTCCACCACGTGGCAATCTCGCCACTCTCTCGCCACGGCCCAGCGTGGCCTCCTCCTGTTTCTACTCCTTCTCGACCCCTTCCGGTTCTTCCCCTAAATCCTCTCCCCCACGTGACCCTGACTCCTCCTTCTCCTCACGTGACCCAGACTCCACCCCCTCATTCTTGGCTCGCATTACAAATTGATCAGTAACACTTTGATATATAGAGGACTGCAGAGCTTTAGTATTTGTAGGCATCAGCTCCCGCTTGTCCACGATTCCTTGCAGCTCTGAATCATTCTCTCTCTATGAAAGTGAGCGAATATTGTGCGTCTGTGTGTTGCAGGTTAAATGATTTCAAACTCCTATAACGTTGAGCTATAAAAGCTATGGCTCATTTACCATTGGAATAGAGTACAGTACAACCTGTACTGTTAATGTATTGAATAATAACTTCAATTTATAAAGCACATACCATCATAGTGTAATAAACCACTTCGACGACGATCTTAGTTCGTGTCTTCTCTATTATTTATTTCTTGACGGCTGGACAGCTCCGCATTCTCTTCCCTTCGACACCGTTACACTCTTGTTCTACGTATAAGGTGTTGTCACTCCGCGCACGGCTCGCTCACACTTCCCCCCACTCCTGCTGCGCGCCACTGACAGACGGCGTGCAAGGAGACAGCCTCCGGCCCGCCACGTGGCTGCTGGCGTTCCGGAGGTGCGAGACATAGTCTCGCCTCTAGACTCCACACACTGAACTCGAGTCCCTTACGGCTTCCCCTTATAACCCTTTACGTACGCCGCCAAGCCCCGCCTACAGCCACGCCCCCTAACGAACCTTCTGGCTGGTTACCCACAAGAGCCCTTAAGCTCCGCCCTTGAATTTCGGCGCATCCCTCTGATTGGCTGATGGCCGAGGCGGCGGAACCTATTCCAACAATCGGCGACCGTCGGTTAACTCTCGTATTACATTACCCCCCCCCCCCCGGTGTAAAAGGCTAACCATCCCAGCTAGGAATGAAGTAGTGCGCAATAGGAAAGCCACTGAGACCAAGGAACAGCGCAACAGCAACAACAATAAAACAAGGTGCCTTATGAAAGCACTACGCAAGGCAAGTAAGAAGAACAATCATAACGCAACACAGCAACAATGATGAGATGCATACAAATGCACTATGCAAGATAAGTCAGAAAAATTTTCAATGAAAGGGAACAGATTTGGAACGTGTACACGATGCCGGTCCATCCCCAACAGTGGCATGAGGCTCCGCTAGTTGTGACGCAACAGGAGGCGGAAGAGTGGAACGTCCAGCATCCGCAGCGGTGGAGGAAGCGGCAGCGGGAGTGGGGCTGTCGGCAGCAGCCGGGGCGTTCAGAGCCTGTGAGTCTGTGGGAGGCAAAACAGGCCCCTTCTGGGGATCAACCGGCAACCGAGGTGGCACATCGGATGCATCAGACCCCGACAGGGTAGGCAATGGGGATGAAGGATCAATGCACAGAGCAAAGAAGGGTTTCAATCGCGAAATGTGGAAGTACCAACTGCGCGAACCCGCCCAGATACGTACACATTGAGGATTGCGTATTTACATCAATTCAACAGGCCCTTGACACGGCCTGTGCAGTTTGAGAGAAGTACCCACTGGCACCTGGGGGCAATGAAGCCAGGCCCGGTCGCCCCCAGCCCATGGCATGTCGCGTCGCGACCGACGAGCGCACCGCTCATTACGGGCCTGGGTCTTGGCTGTAGCAATCCTTGCTGCCTCACGTGCTTCTGTGACATGGTGAACCGAATCACAGACATGTTCCGGTAGGGTCAGCGCGGGTGCTCTCAGCTGCACGCCAATCGGCGGCACATTCTCCCGACCGTACATGAGGAAGAACGGTGAATATACCATAGTTGCATGGGGGGCCATACGCTATGCAGACAGTACGCCAGGAATGTGAAGGTCCCAATCAGCCTGCTTTTCGCTCACCGTGTGACAAACCATGGCAGACAAGGTACGAATTCTAGATTTGAAACTTTCATGACTGCAAGGATTCATATTCTTAGGTTTTTTCGGTAAAGTCACGTAGGTAAAACATTAAAATTAATAAAAGTAAAATTAAATAAAAATCACGACGTTTCGGAAGCAACACAAGCTTCCGTCTTCAGGTGGAACCGTCAGAGCCCGACAGCTGTATCAAGTAAAAGAGAGATTACAGGAGATACCACTCCGTATATAGAATAGTTGAGGGGGGAGGGGGGGAAGGGGCAGGGATGGCCCACTCTGTATTATTATGGTAAGGTGCGGTTTGAGACTATGAATAGACTGCATAACAAAAGACTGAGCCTTTATTATGGAGAGGTTCGGTTTGTGACTACGCCTAGCCTACATAATAAAAGTGTGAAAAAAGAAGAAAGCTAAACCTGGTAGAAAGCTGAACCTGGTGAAACAACTGGCTGTCCATCAGTAACCTGCAATAGTTTTCTGTCAAATAAGATGGTTCAAATAAGTGTAGTTAAATCTTTTTTGCATGGTTAATCACATCTTTCCAATGATTAAAGGTGCGGCTTGAGACTATGAATAGACTGCATAACAAAAGACTGAGAAGAATTAATGCCCTCTACGGGGAGGAATTCCACCTATCTGTTAGAGTTTTTAACAGACAACGAGACAAGAAGTCACAGCTTCTCGAGACGCTGGCCTTCCTCAAGAGATGCCGAGATAACAAGGTAATACCCATCGCTTTCACACTCACATCCGCTGCTGTGTCCTCACCGAACTCTAAACAGATCTTATTTAAAGCTAGCCTATCACTAATCTCGGAGAGAATAAGGTTACTCCGAGTTGAACTCGATAATTTAGACAAGACTCTCTTACAAACACATTTAATGTTAACACAAAAAATGTCACCCTCCGATTGGAACCACGTTGATAACATGACTTCTGCTTCTGCTGACTCAATGTCAGCCAAATGCAAAGCTAACCTGATTTCTCAATTCAACCTCCTATCTAAGAAGAAACCAGAGCCACACATCGCAAAGCTGGATGTTAACAAGACCGTGATTAATCAGAGTAACATCCCAATTTCTGACAATCTAAAAACGGTACTGGCCAAAGGACTAAATTTCGCCATCACCCCTAAATATATACCAGTAGAGGATATGATTTCTCAGATTGATGTAGCCCTCAGAGGCATAGGACACATCCATGCGGATGTAGCAAGAGCTGAAATAGCTACTATTCTTAAGAATGCCAAGAAACCCACTAGTAACATCAGCAAAAACGAACGCTCTGAACTCGCGGACCAAAAAAAGAGATGATATAGTCATCCTCTCGGCAGACAAGGGCAATGCCACGGTCATCATGGATAAAAATTCATACAACAACAAAATCCTGGACCTTCTTAATGATGGGAGTTACTCCAAAATTAAAAACGATCCCACTAAAAGCCTAACGACAAAAACCAACAGTATCATCACGAGTTCGACTTCCCTAATCGAACCAAGCAAACATCCCTCTCTAAAACCATCGGCGGCTAGACCTCCCAGACTCTATGGTCTTCCCAAAATCCATAGAGAAGGCACCCCGCTACGACCCATCGTGTCGACGATAAACTCTCCTACGTACAAACTAGCCCGTTTTCTATCAGATACTCTGCTCCCCTTCACAGGCAAGACCTCTTCGGCAGTACTCAACTCAACCCAATTAGTCTCTATGGTTAAGGACATGGTACTATCTCCTGATGACATCCTCGTCAGCTTTGATGTAGTATCTCTGTTCTCCAAAGTCCCAGTACCGGCCACCCTAACAATAATTGAGGACTTAGCCCAAAATGGATTGAATTCTGATGTACCTGCGCTGGTTAGGCATTGCCTCACCAACACCTATTTTACCTGGAATGGCACCTTCTACAAACAGAATGAGGGTACCCCTATGGGCTCCCCCTTGTCACCAGTTATAGCCAACATGTTCATGGAAAAGTTTGAATCAGACGCCATCCAGATATTCACCCTGCGTCCTTCCCTGTGGAAGAGGTATGTGGATGACACTTTCGTCATCTGGCCACATGGCCTCCCAGCATTGAACCACTTCTTGGACCACATCAATTCTAGACACCCATCCATCAGATTCACCATGGAAGTGGAGAAAGACGGTAAACTACCATTCTTGGATATTCTGTTTGAGAGGAGGCCTGACGGATCCTTGGGACATTCTGTCTACAGGAAAGCCACTCACACAGATTCCTACTTGAAACCGGATTCCCACCACCACCCATCTCAAAAGAATTCTCTCATCAAAACGCTATACCACAGAGCCCATTGCATTTCTGACCAACACCACCTGGTCGGTGAATTAAGACATGTACATCAGGCCCTCAGGATGAACGGATACTCTGACCGCACTATCCGCCAAGCTGTTTCTCCCACCACACAGAAACAGCCACATGAAACTCCGACCAAAACTATCACGTTACCATATACATAGCAGGCGTGACCAAAAAGATCTCCAAAATTCTAAACAAACATAAGATCCAAGTCCGATTCAGTACAGTGCATAA